CGAATATGGCACTCATTTCTAAATCCAAGATGGCGGACACGAGTTTTCAAATAAATGCAATATGGGTATCATTTTCGAGGTACTTGGGGGTGCTCATTACGAATGTGGCACTCATTTCTAAATCCAAGATGGCGGGCACGATTTTTTCAAAAAAATGCTATGTGGGTATCATTTTCGAGGTATTTGGGGATGCTCAATGTGAATATGGCACTATTTGTTAATCCAAGATGGCGGGCACGATTTTTCAAATAATGGCAAGTTGGGTATCGTTTTCGAGGTATTTGGGGGTGCTCATTACGAATATTGCTCTTGTTTGAACTGTCGTGTTTGCCATCTTGGATTTAGAAATGAGTGCCATATTTGTATTGAACATTCCCAAACATCTCGAAAACGATACCCAACTTGCCATTATTCGAAAAATCGCGCCCGCATCTTGGATTTAGAAATAGTGCCATATTCGAAACCTAAAACCGAAAATGCCATAAGCAAACATTAAAGAAAATAACTGTTAAAATAGATTAAAAAATCGCTTAAGAATGCTCCCCTTTTAAGAAAATAAAATATTTTAATATAAAATATTTCGCTTGAGTTACGAAAAGAAAGACATATAATAAGCTATCAAAGTTGTACTGGTGGTGCCAACACTATAGTAGAAACAAATATATAAGTACTGTAAATTTGTTGCAATATGTGCTCCAATTCAAATAAAATTAAAATAAATAATTATTCAATAAAGCATGAACGCAGAGCCGTTAAAAGTATTATAAAATAATTAAGTGTCCCAATCACTTACAGGAGTTAACGAAAACATTTAATGTTTATTAAAGTAAATATTAGTTCAAGATGCGCAAATAAATCTAAATTACAGGCACCACTAAAATTTACGTAATATAATTATTTTGATACAGAATAGCAAAATGGGGAGAAAAAAAATTCGTTACTTTGCAACACTTTCGTATCTTGTTGCCGCGAAATTATTTTTCTGTTTTAGTGAATATTTACATATAAATATGAGTTGAAACGCATTACTTACTTGTGGAATGCGATGTTAGTGTCTATTTTATGTTTGTCTGTTGTATTTTTACACCCATTTACCGCACATTACGTCATTTTTAGCAAAAAATTTTGGAGCTGTTCGCGGTGCAATATGACCTTGAGCACTAACAGCCCGCGCGCTCCTGGGACGCGTTTGGAACCCTCTAACTTGCCTCACTTAGCGTGTGCGGGCTAGGTTTCTATGCGTTATTATTCTAAGGTGTCAGGTATAGATTAAACCCAGGTTAACTATTGTAGGTTTATTGTAAGGTTCCAATATCGATACCTATCTCTGGATCCAATCGATGACTTTCTAGAACAGCGCCTAACTCCAAACACAGGCCGACTAATCGTACGGCCCAATGATGTATTTTTCAACTATAGAAAACTCGGTATATATTGACGACCTCGATGGTTGAAAGTTTGCTCTGTAGGCGGATGAGGAGGTGCCGGGTTCGATTCCTAGTAGGAACAATTTGGAAAATTATAATTATATTTTAATTATTTATTTTCGTCTGGGTGTTCTAACAGTATAGGGATTTCCTTTGTTTTAGATCAGGTAATTGGTGTGGCTGTTAGACATTATTTTGACTCTTGATTTATTTAGAAGCTCTGATTATTAGGGCGCGTTCTCTTTATGTCGTGACGACAGACCGACGACAGAACTGCTTAACTAAATTAAATTTTTCACAAAATGCTAAATGGTATTATGATTGGGATTCCGAGATTTTCGTTGGTTACAATTATCACATGACATCGTTGAGATGGTCTATTATTCGTTAATTTTGCGATGCAGATACGTTTCAGTTTTTTTAATGCCATATTCCTGATGAATTAGCTGCATTTGAGATAGGACGATATTCTAGAAAGCCGTCGATGTATAAAAATTTTATCACATTCATAATAAGTGAAAAAATCTTTGTGTTGGTCGCAATTCTTGAAAAGCAACGAAATGTTACACAGCTAGCAGCGAAATGCTATCGTGAAATTGGTGATGAAGCTCGTACGTTTTACCTCGAGAAGACTGTGGAGTTAGCTACGGAGGAAGGGAACGGAGATAGCACTGCTGGTATGTTTTTTATCCACATACACTTTTATTATCGTATAAATTTACATATTTATCTACTATATATGAATATTATTCATGAATACATAATGTTTAGATGAATTATGTACAGGCCAACCCCTTAAGGTAATTTTTACAATAATTATGGTTGAAATAATATTGACTTATAACTTTCACCGTGTTTAAATCAATAACGGTTGTCGTAGATGAGAATAGGCTCAGTATATTTACCTAAAACTCGAGTAATACGTCTAGAGGTGATAATACCTCCTTTTCAATAATATGTTCTTGGTACTATTAACTCTGCGTGTATCATTTCCCTGAAGTTTAGATAAATATACTTGCTTATTCCTAACATAAACAAGAAAACATAATAAATTTACCAAAAATAAACTATTGCATTTTTCTTGTACTATCTGACACTTTTTAGGTCTGTATTTGGTAATAAGGTAGTAAGTTCAAACGTGCAAGTATCCTTCCCATCGACTCCCACTTCCGCTCCTGCGTTTGGCGTCGGACTGACATTTACTAATTATTAAAAGTTATGGAACAAAAGTTGTTGTTTATGATGTTGGAAATATTCCTGCGAATTTGTTATTTTACTAATAACCCTGTATACAATCTGTATTATTAATAACTGTGTTATTAATACGGTATGTTATGGAGTAACGGCCTGTTGTCTGAAACTCGACATCTGGGCGTCTGTTTTGCTTGATTAATTTATATTACTTTTATAAATGTTTTTAAGAGGTGATTCTGATCACCAATATTTTTTACATGGGGACTCCTAAAATCATAAAAAACTAGCTTCCGTATATTTGGGTCGAGTAAGTTTATACATTTTATCATTCTTACTATCTCATTTTGTAGGTTATCATATTCCTCTTGCGTTTTATTTTTACTTAGGTACGTACACCATAATGGAATTTATATTCATGTATGTATATCCTATAGATGTTCAAAATAACAGGTCTCAACAGCCCGGTAATCCGAGCTCGTCTCGCAATCTTTGCCGGAGATCTATCCACGGCTGAAGACTACTATGTGAAAAAAGCCAACAGACCAGAACTGGCCATCAATATGTACAAACAGTTCAACCGATGGACCGATGCTATTGCTTTGGCCGAAAGAACCAATCGACCCGCCGTGACGGGGTTAAAACAACAGCATATGGATTATTTGACTTCTACTGGTAAGACATATAAGTACAATTTTTAATGATTGCTGATCTACTTAACATTATCTTATATGAATTTATGTATAAAAGCTCAAACCTTTTCTACCATTATTACTTCGGCCTTCAATAAGTATTTCCAAAAAAGTAGTTTTGCTATAGTCGCCATGTTTCGCTGCAAGACTGCATTAAGTAACCTAAGGAAATGACTATGTGTCCATGTTCTGATTTAGTTGGATTTTTTTGTGTCATTTAGCATGTCAATATCGGTCATTGACCCGACTTTCATCCCAAAGTGACATTTCGACAGTGACTTATTCCTGTAAATCTTAAAAAAATATGGAATTGAGGCATGGCACTCTATAAATTTATATGTTGTTAATATTACATTTATTAACATTTCAATGATGTACATGTTTAATAAACATAAACAATATGAATTGCGTTCATAATACATCTTCTTATACTTCATATTAAAACTAATATTTTAAATGCAGTGCATAATAACTATAATTCAGTTTCTTTAATTTCATAATTTAAAAAATATAAAATGTATCAATTTTCATTTTACGTTCATAAAAAACTACGGTCCCCTAAAAAGGCAAATTTTAACTTTTTCCCTTTTTTTTATTTTTCGTGTCAGAGTATGCTTGCGTTTCAGACGAGTTTCGGAAATATTCATGTTTCAAAGTTGAAATGTTGTGTTGTTTTGTTAATTACTTTTATTTATTTTGGTGTTTATTTGTATTTTTAATTTGTTTCGTTACATTTTGCCAGAAATGATTCCACCTTTAGACGTAGCTTTTTTGGATTTGGTCGGATTTTGAAGTGACGATTCAGCTTAGTATTTATATTGTTACGTTTTTTGTTATATATTGTTTGAAAAAAAAATCATAATAATTTATATGTGTCATTGTTATGAAACTATTTCAAAGTTTACAACACCTTAGGTTGTATACATGTCAGGGTGAATTCTATCATGATACGCAAACGATAACACTTTCGGGCATTACCGGGAACGTTGGATCTCTTCATCGTTTCCACAAGTAACGTATACAGTGGCGGGAATGGGTGAATGAACGCTATTGATGTGCTAAATCATCGCCTTACTTTCTCAAACTCGTATCTTAAAGCACAAACTTACTAAAATGCCAAAACTGATTGTATATGCAAATTTTGCAGGCTGATTTCACAGCACATTTCCTTCATATTCACCCAATGGCTTTTACCTATTCTTAAAATAATGCATCCAAATTAACAACCTTCGTAAAAAATTCAAAAATATTTTAAAATAAATAGAAAGTGTTGCCACCTCCTGAATAATCACTCTTTATAAAATACGAGTTTTAACATATTTATTTTCTTCGGCATTGTACGGCATATAAATGACATTTGATTTCCCAAAAAATCTTAAAATAGATTAATAGACTGGGTAAAAATATTTTTTTTAACTGCTTCGTTATGGCGGTTCACTAGTATACAAAATAGGGAAACTATTCCTTAGAGGTTTGGAAGACCTTTGCTAATCAGCAGAATAGTACTGATTCATTTAAAAAACGTGTCTGTTAATTTGACTATTTGATTTTCGGGGTTGATTTACACGATCAATTGAGGCACTTTTATAGTGTTAACTGCATATATTGTATTCATTGTTTACAAGGAATTAAATTTAGGAAATATATGAAAAAGATGAACTGCTGTTAATTTGTCGGTGACTACATGTTATACCGCGCTCCGGAAATTTGAGTAACCGACACGAACAAATGTATATAACAATGATAAAAATCTGTCTCAGGGCGTTTAGGAGAAGCCGGTGCAGCATTAGCTGCTGTTGGCGACTTCCAAGGCGCAGTTCGTTTCTGGTTGAAAGGCGGGCGCGCTAGGCGGGCGGCCAATCTACTTCTACAACATCCACAGTTGCTTAGGGACAACGATATCGTTGATTCTGTACATACGCAACTTATTCAGGTAATAATATAAAAGCACGATATCTGTCCTCCTAACGACCCGTGTACATCAAAATGTACATAATATGTGAAGTGGTTGAGATGATTACATAAATGCCGTGTATAATAATATGAAAATGTCCCATTCTTATTTAGCGCTGTATATAAGATAACTACAAAAATATGTTATTTCTACAAAACTGAGGGCATACTTGCTTGGACCTGAAGCGTGTAATTATATTTTTATCACACTTGCTCATAAAACTGACTAACTTAAGGCTATAATAACCCTCGCGCCTTTTTTCTTCTCACGTTATTGCATTACATGACCATGGTTGCAACGAGAAGAAGAAAGGCCCGAGGGTTTTATTTGGGTCATCATAATCAAGTTAGCCTGCTTGCAATCATACTATTTAAGTACAAGTGTGATGAAAAACATTCTATGTGTTTCACAGGCGGTACGGGAATTACGAACCTTGATTTCGAAAGGCCTCAGTCTTTGACTTCGGGCTTCTAATATAGTCTCGTTTGTAATTGCTTATTTACCGCCTTTAATACTTTCTGTACTATTAGTACACTTTTATGAACGTAGGGCATTTAGCGCTTTTCCCATTATAATTAGCTGGGAGGTAAAACAAATAATTATGACAGATGTTATTGACTTAAGTGTTGTTTACCAAACATTATTTTTACTCTCGACTTCGGGATAGATTCTGCATTTTGTGTCATTTAAGGGTCAAAACCACTGGATGTCATGGAACATGAATATGTTACTATCAGATTGATAATAATTATATTGTTATACTTTATATCGTAGATGTATTTTTTATAAGTTAAAACAAAAGTCACCATTTCAGGAGGAATGGTGGGAGATGGCTGGGGAGATATCGGAGAGAATGGGTGATACGAAAGCTGCTGTTGAGTACTATGCCAAAGGGAATAACTTTGCTAGAGCTGTACAACTTGCACGAGAGGTAAGTGTGTGTACAATGAACCCAGTACCTTCCATAAGTATAGGTACAATAATTGTATTTCTTCTAAAGGCACACACTAGAGATGTGCTTCGATCGTAAAGTCATTGGCGGCGTCGTGATCGGCGTGAACTCGGAGTGGCATTAGGTATAATATATTTTTCAGGTGTTCAAAAAACACTAAAACATTGTTTAAATCAACCTTTTTATTCACTTTCGACGTTTTTCACACTTTAGCTTGTATTGTAGTAGGTACGTAAGTAATGTTACTAAAAATGTTTGTAAAAAAACATAAAAACAAACGCTCTTAATGAAAATCCAGTGTGAATAGGATATAGGAAGGTAATTCATTTAATAGTTTTACATTAAAATAAAACAAATTTTCACTACGTCGATTTCACGCCTGTTAAGTTCATCGACGGCGACGTGGAAAACCATTTCACACACCACATCACGTCTCTATATACACCTTTTTCAGTTGTCTATTAAAACAGACAACTGAAATGCTCTAAAGTGCATTTTGAGACCATGACTCCTCAGAAGAAACCTGTGTAAGGCAGGGTGTCCTATGACGATTGAGAAAGACGATCGCCATATCACTATCATCGATCACGCTATGATAATCATTAATAGTCCTAAAGTTACTGTCCGTGAAATGAAATCTCTCTGCTCTCTTACAGGCTTGTCCAGAAGAAGTGACACGTTTAGAAGGGATGTGGGGCAATTGGCTAGTATCGTCTCGACAAGCAGGTGCTGCAGTGCCGCATCTGATCGAGGCTGGGGAAACCCGCGCGGCGTTGACCGCCGCAATCAAGGCTCATCATTATAAGCGGGCTCTACAGATCGTGCAGGTTCGTTATTTCATTAGGAAGGCCTGATATAAATGAAAATTTATTGTCTTGTAGGCGTTACCGATTTTCAAAGAGATTTCTTATTTTTGATTTATTATTGTTTGTGAGTTTTTTAGAAATAATTTTGTCTACTTACGCTAGGTGTTTGGTAGGACGTGAAATTATTGTATTTGGTTAAATTTCAGGTTATCGAGGACAAAGATTCTATTCGGGAACAATGCGAACAGTTAGGAGATCATTTCATTTCTATCCAAGTAAGTCTACGAATAGTTAAAATGGAACACAAAATAAAAGTTTTGTTAAGCCATTTTCTATTTGTTTTTATTTTTATTATACGTAGTAAGAATAAACTTACAGCTAATTGTACAATCAACCACATAATCACATATTACTACAAAAATGTAAATTGTTCAAATGAAGCATTATCGCTATTGATTTAAAACGTACAATGCTGTCAAAGAAAGTAAAAAACAAACTTAGTAACATTACAAAGCACCTTTCAAAAATAAATAAATAGAAACAGTCTCACAAACTACTATACGTAATGCTTCGGTAAACTAACAAACATTAGCCTTATTAAATTTGTATTTAGACAGATCAAACATATCTAGTTCCGACAATTATAATTATGAAATCACCTTAGAGGAGCGCGCCCGCCAAAATTTGTCCTACAGTAGGGCTAGCACGACAAGACGCAACTTGCGCGAGAGCGACATGAAGCTCGAGATCTCTATGCGAGAATAGCGTCTCGCACTATAATGTCGCGTTCGCGCTAGTCGCGTCCTGCCGTGCTAGCCCTACAGGACGTAAGAAGAAGAATATAATAGTTTTAGGGTCAATAAGAAAAATGCATGGTTCTCTTTAAAATAATGATGGAAAACACTATCATTTTACAAAAAATGTGAGTAATACATTTTAGTATTTGGGTATTATTCTTATTTGGGTAATACATGCTTCCCTGGGCCATTCAAGCAATGTCCAGAAATAATAATAAAATTTATAAAGATTGCAAATGAAAAAATTTTCTTCGCATCTAATCGCGTACCTATATTTGTTTTTAAATAAATTAGCATTTCGGGCTATTCGCAGGTTCCATGGAGACGGCTATCTTAAGAACTCGATAAATAATATACGAATAAAACTTTTTCAGGAATGGGACACAGCAGAACGAGTACTCAGCTCATGTGGCATGGCAGAAAGATGTGTTCGCGCATACAACACTGCAGGAAAAGTTGCTGATGGTCTACGTTTAGCTGCACAGCATCTATCCGAAGAAGAGACCAGGAACATTTACTTGCCATTGGTTAAGCAGTTGAGACAGGAGGGACAGTTAAGGAAGGCTGAACAGATCTACATTGGGCTTGGAGAAGCTGATGAAGCTATTTCTATGTATAAGGTGAGACTGGGTTAAATTAGAACTTGAATGAGACAAGTTTTTTGATTATAATCATTGACTTACAATTATATGGACGTCGGGTCCGCGCTAAAAAGTGTCTGAACTTATAGGGCGTTAAAATCGTATATAGAGCGTCATTCACGCTTTAGTCTTCGTTTGTACGATTGACAGCGCGCTTGTCAATGATGCCGTATTGTGTAGCAAAACCTTGTAAAAATTACTCAACTAAAATGAAAAAACAGGATGGTATACCATATTTTCAGTAAGTACTACATTGTGTTATCATAGTTATCATTTAAAAGTGTTATTTTATGCACTAGTATATATAGTATTTAATTTATATTTAAATTAATCGTAAATATAATTATAAAAGCAATCAAAATAATCAAATAGCTAACTGTCTCTTTCCGACTCATAGCTTGCGTAAAAGACTGAACGAGACCCACCACGTCAATTTCAATTGTTTCAAACACAAGCGTTTGAAATATTTAGAACAAAAATTTCATAGAGTCGCTTTGATGCTAATGTTATTATTAAAATATTTTTTAATACATGTTAGTAACACTTTCAAATATTGTTGTACTCTTTCTACGGCTTGGGGTTACGAATCAGAATACCGAAAATACATAACCCGAAATAACGTTTGCATGAATTTCCATAATCCCGAAAGTATTTTTTTAGGTTTTTTTTTAGAATATTACTAAACAAACCTAAGCTAAGCTAAACAAAGCTAACTTAGTCCTTTCTTTGTAATAAGCATCCAAAACTCCCTAAAGCATAACGGTTTTATTATGAATCGGTTTTCAGGATTATGAAAATTTGGCTTTACGTTGAATTTGAATTTAAAAAAATCGAAACATCGGTACATTTCATTACACGGCATAATAAATGTATTTATTTCAGTTTTCCTCGAGATTCTATACTTTGCTCACACTAACACTTTATTACTTATATTTTGTAAACATTTTATCCCGAAAATATACAAATTTGTTTGCTCGGTTCATTTCAGACAATCGGATGTGTACATAACCAGCAAAGGCTTACGAAAATAAAAAAAAACAGCTTTGCCAACATTGCTAGTAAGAACTGATTTTTGGTGCCTAGGCATTATATTATATTTTATTAAATTTATATTAACGCTTTGGTATGTGATTACAACAATGAGTGAACTGTGCATAGGAAGGAGAGAATACAGGAATTTATCCAGTAAACATAGCTTGAACTTAAGAAGAAAGTGAGAAGTATTAACAGAGAACATCTTACACCGCCAAAATGCGTTAAAAATCAAAAGTTGGATGAATGACAAAATATGCCAACTTAAGAAACAAAGAAGGTAATTGAAGCAGACTGACACTGCATATTAAATAGGATTTTTTTTAAAGTTTAAGCAATTTGTAGCTTTCACATTCAAACAATGCATAATAATACAAATAGTCCAACCTTGATAGCCTAACGGTTTGCACTGTGGGCGCTGGATGAGAACTTCCCGGGTTCGATACCGGTAGGATCAATTTAACAAATTAACTTTTCTAAATGGTTTTGGTCTTGCTGTTCTATTGTAAGACAATCACCTGGTTTGAAACTAGGGAACTATCTGTACATACTCTCCATAAGTATCAGAGCAACAGAATCCCAGAGCAGAACCAATTTACAAAAGTTCATTTCCCAAATTGGTTCTACCGGGAATCGAACCTGGGACCAAGAACGATGGAATTTATTTCGGGGCACAACTCAGAATGCCCAGGCCAAAACAACTTTCGAAAAGTTCACATTTAGTTTTATAGTTGATTGAGCTGAGTTTTTACGGTTTTTAAAAAAAATCTCGAATAACTCGAGAAATCGGGTACGAAAATTCTCGAAACTCAAGAAAAAAAATCAGACACCCTAGCTGGTAATGAATGGCATTGTATAAAATTCAACATTTACATATAAAATTTATTTATAAATAATAAAGGCTACTCCATTATACCTGTGTTCAAGTACTTTTCACCAGAAGCTACATATGGTACATTTTGGTAAGTTTCCAGTAGAAGCTGAATATGGTGTTTTTTGCGCCTTTCAATTTTTGCAAGCAAAATTAGACAGTACTGCGATGACATTATAATTTAAATTCAACGTTTTTGCTTTTTCATATTCATTTACATGTCGCTACGTTTAAATAGGTTGACTTGGGACATTTTTTTCGTAGTTTTTGTATTAGACCCGTCGTCCATTTATTTGTAAATCAATGATTATGATGTAAAAAAAATACAAGTATAGTTGGAGGTGCTGCCAGCTTTAACCATAACAAATAAAAAAGAGACATGAATTGTATAATAGTTTTATCACAATGTGGATAATGAACATTGTTATTCGTCGTAATACAGGAAGCGTCTCAGTATGAAGCAATGTTGCGTTTGGTAGCTGCACACCGTAGCTCTCTACTTGAAGCTACCCGACGTCATGTGGCTCAAGCTTTGCATGCCTCTGGGGATCTTAGAGCCGCTGAAAATTATTATATTCAAGCTGGTAAGTTACCTTGAAATTACACAGGTTAGATCATAATTCTCGTACCGCCCCTGATATTTACAATGTTTTTTGTACTCAGGACTCATTACAGTCATGGTCGGTAATGAGAAGAAAAAAGGCCCGAGGATTTTATTTGGGACATTATAGTCAAGTTAGCATGCATGCAATTATAGTATTTACGTGCAAGTGTGATGAAAAACATTGTATGTTGCATGGACGGTACGAGAATTATGAACCTCGACTCCGTAATTCCTTCTAATAGTGTCTCGGTCGTAATTCCTTATTTACCACCCTTAATTTTAATACACAATGTAATATTACCTATGACTAAGGTTATAGCCCAGTTGCCGCTGAGTAAGACAAAAGCTGTTAAGTAGTTTAAAGAAACGCGAGTTGTGTTATTATAGGTGACTGGAAAAGCGCCATACAAATGTACCGATCGGCTGGTCAATGGGAAGGAGCTGAACGGGTTGCAAGAGCTCATGCACCAAGTAGCGTCCAACAACAGGTAGGCTTATGATCTATGGCTTTTTATGATAGTGGGCTATTTCAAGTGGAGTTTCTTGTCTGCCAGGCCTTATTGACAAATCTTAGTCGTTTGCAATGAAATTTAATAATAAGTAACAAAATAAATATTTTGTATAGAGCCATTATTCATATCAACCTATAGACTACAGCAGGAAATATTCTGAAACCAAGACTGCGGAACCGAAGAACTCGGAGGAAACAAAGACTGAAAGCAAGAACTATACCTAAACGGAGAGTCCGAGTACTTTCCGAGATTATCAGGAGACCAGTCTGGACCAACTGACGGACTATTCGTTACTCGAGACTGGTTCAGATATTTCCAAGTCTAAGCAGCGATTATAAGCAACACTTTCGAACATTGGCTTCGTTAATTTGTTGGCGGTTAGCGAAGTGCGATAGGTAAGCACTACAGAATGTGGATGTTTATGAAATTGTATATAGGTGGCGCTTCAATGGGCAGCGGCATTAGGAGGTGCTCCAGCTGCTAGGCTTCTAGCCGCTCGAGGTCTGGCTGCCCTTGGTGCTCGTTGGGCTTTACAAGCTCAAAGGTAACGTTATAATTCTTTTTTCACCTCACTAGCTCGGAAAGGTTTTCTTCCTCATTAGAAAACTGCACAAAGGCGTTTTTGAAATTCGAATTTGACTATATACTGTGGTGCGCCTAACTTTATCTTTCAATGAAAAAAAACATAATGACACATTAACTACGCGATTTGTCGTACATTATTTATATAATATAAATCTTTTGGTATATTTTATGCTTATTATTGTTGACATTAAATTGACAACGATAACCATTGACCTACCAACAAATGGACGTCGATTTCGCGCGAAAAAGTATCCGCAACCATCGGGGGGTGAAAATCGCATACAGAGCGTCAATCGGGCAACAGTCTTCGTTTGTTCGACTGACAGCGCGGTTGTCAATCATGCAGAACTATACGTATAATAATAACTTGTACAAATTACTACAGTAAAGTGTAAAAACACGATTTTGTATCATATTTTCACTAAACAAATATATTGTGTTATCATAGTTATCATTTAAAAGTGTTATTTTGTACAGTTGTATAGTATGTATTTAATTTATATATAAATGAATCGTAAATATAAATTACAAAAGCAAACAAAATAATCAAATAGCCAACTGTCCTTATGCTACACTTTGCATGCGCAAAAGATGGAACACATTACATCAGTTTCAAGAAGCTTATATAAACTTCTTGGTCATTTTCAATTGTTGGAACTACAAGCGATTGAAATATTAGGGGTTAAAGTATGAAATTGCCGTTTTATTGCAATAGGTT